TAAAAGTATTAATCTTAAATGTATTAATCTTTTCCATGCTCAACATTACTTTTGATTAAATAAAACTTTGTAGAAACTTGCATATAACATTTTCTAATAAACTCACCAATTTTGAGAAGCTTAATTTTTATACTTTGCTATCTAACAGCTGTCCGATGCTGGATTAGTAGAGTGTTTTAGTGATTAGTAAAAACTCACCAATTACTCATTCAATTATATACACAGTACTGACACTAACCATGAACTTCAGTAAACAAGTCAGTGGGTTAGATATAATACAGTTTTAAAACATCTTTCTTACATGCTACAATTTTTATAAACCTTGTGAGACAGTTTAACATGTCTTGTAATAATTTGTAGAAAGTAATTAATAGTTCTTTTTTCAACAAAGGAAAACCTCAGGCTTCTCAGAACATTTATCAAAGAACTGCTTTTTCTTTATTTCTCTACTAATTAAATGATTAACTAATGGGTTTTTACTTATCACTACAACATTTCACTAATCCAACATGGGACTGCTGTTGGATGGCAAAGTATTACACATCTTAAATTAAGCTTCTCAAAACGTATATATATATATATATATTTTATAGGTTACCTCACCATCAGATGTGGAGGATGATGATGATCCTGATGGATCTTTTGTATTTAGAAGAAAGAAGTTTTGCTATTACCATGCAGTAAGATTTATATTTACATCCAAAATATGTTTTATTTGTTTGGTTTATTGCATTTACCACTATAGAGAGATCTATTGCTCAGTAGTCATTCTTAACACTGTAGTTACATAGCAAACACAAATTTGATGAAAACAAATTTGAATTATGCATTGATGAAATATGCCTAAGCTATCAAAAGCAATGACTTTTTATTAACAATTTTAAAATCATAGTTAACTGCAGATATTTTTTCTTCACATTCCTCTTAATTAATCCTTTACAAATTTCAATAGTTACTTTTGTTACACAAAAAACTTCAATGACAGTTTAAGCATTTAACATCACTTATTGAATATTTTTTACTGCTTACAAATAGAATTTCAAATATACTTGTGGTTGTTGTAGATCCAAGTCTCTCTTTACACTCAGATATTGAACAGAAGGCCTCCTGTGTAGTAACTTTTGACAAAGGAAATGTGTGTTTCAAATGGTATTTTTCCCATTTTTGGAGTAGAAATCAAAAAGGACTGATTAAGAAGAATGTAAAATAAAAACGTGCAATCTAGCTCGATTTTAACATTTATTAAACCTAAAACTGTATCATACTCTGGTTCTTTAGCATATCTTTTTTAATTTTCCTAATGTAAGAAATTTTAGTAGGATCAAAATGGATGTGAGCCATCAGGTTGTAACAAATTCAGTTGACTTTTGGTTGTCTCAAATCAACATTCAAATTATATGTTTAAGTCGGTTTATCTCAGTAATGTATTTGTTTAGGTTGTTATAAAATATCCCATCTATGTATCCTATAGACTGATTCTTAGCAAAAATAACTTGTTCAGATAAATGTAATCTAGTGGATTCACGTGTAATACCACAGAAGGTTTCTATAATGAAGTTTCTAAGATTAAAAGTGGTTTTTTTTGTTGCTGTGACTTTATAGCTGCTTGTGCACTAACTTGTCATTTCAGATAGACTTTCAAAATATTGAACAAAAGTAATTATAGTTAAAATAATGACAAAACGATGATGACAAAACCTTGTCGAAACATTGTACATTTGCTGTTATGTTAAACTTATATTAAAGTTTTTCTTCATTACCCATTCAAGCCGTCTCCAGCCATTATTAGTCTCAAAGTGGGTTCCTCGTCATCGAATTCGAAAATGACTTTGTATAACTTAAGCTCTATCTAAGCTTAGTATGGTACATTAATATGTTATAAGACTTGTAAAATTTTATATCAGTATGTAGCATAAAAAAATGTGGATATTAAAAAAATGAATGCTGCTGTTGATAATGAATTGACAAATTATACAGCATAATCTTTTTCTTTAAAACGTTTATCATTGCATGATGTTTTAGGAAGAAAACCCTTCAGCTGATACAGAAAGCTGCATACTGTATCACTGTTATCAGTAGGAATTGATTACATGTTGCCACAAATATTGTGAATATATGGAAGCATGCATATTTGAAAGTATTCATTAATCATTCGGAAAAAAATTTTGTATGCCTATTGTCAATAAAACAAATGAGCACTTGACATCATAATAAGAAAAGATTCATAAGTTATCACTTGGTGAAACCTGTATCTTAGAAATTTAATGCACAAATGACTAGATAAAAAAATGTGCTTCGTAAATATTGTTTGTAAGCTAAGAATACAAATAAAACATACCATTCAAAGAAAAGAACTAAGATGTATAAGTTTTTGAAACTTGTTTCAGTTATTATTTATATTTATAGTACTCATTTTGTCACTGTATTTTGGCAAAAGTTCCTAAAGAAAATTTAAGAAGAAACTCAAGTTATCAGAGATATTCAGTTATGATATTACCTGCTGACAAAGAAAACTTCTCAGTAAATATGAATAAATAAGAATACAAGGACAAGCAGTTTTGAAATGAAGATAAAGAACAGTTGAATAATAAAGCTACTCATACCTATACTATGAACAATTTGCATAGAAAACCAGTTACATCCCATTGTTTCTTTTATTTAAATCCCTTACGTACATCCTTTCGAGGCAATTTTTAACATTTTTGGTCCTTTCAGTAGCCATTAAAGACTTGGAAGATTGATAAAAATATACATCCCAAAAGCATTCCTCAGCTTCAGTATTTTCATGTCATTTTTATCACCACATTTTCAAAAAAATGTACATTTGACAGATGGACCTGTGTGTTCTTCAGGATTAAAGGCAGAATATACTCGAAAGATTTGTGTGACTGTTCACAAACACTTCTGTGTGTAGTTCAAGTTATTAAATTGTTTTTCAAAGACATCGTGATGATGACATCATGAAACAAAAATTTGGCCTAACAACCAACTTCACAGAATGACTATCCAGATTTTACTTAAGCTCAGATTGTTTCCAAATGGGTGAAGATATATACAGTGTGAAAAATATAATGCCATTTGAATTATCATTGCATCTCATTATGTCAACTATTTATCAAAATCTTTGAAGAACAAAATTTAAATGAGTTGCACTATGACGTAATGTATGGTAATGCTATGTTAATTGTCATTTGGTCTCATGTACAAGAAATGCTTCTAAAATTTATGACTGAACTAGACAGATTGAGTAACAGCATCCAGCTTATATTGGAATTAGAGATCAATAGCTTTCTTGAATGTTATGACATTTGGAAAAAAAAAAGCCAGAATATCAAAATCTGTAAATAAGTACCAACGTACATGAATAAATACATGGACTGCTTCTCTTTTCATGCACCTGCTGTCAAGACTGAAAGTGTCGGATATTTTATGAAGTTGTGAGTGAGGCAAAATGTTTATATAGCAAAGAAATGTTTGAAATCATATGTCCACGTAATGGGATATTGAAATATACTAAACAAAAGTAGGATCAATGAGAAGATAACATCAGAATTGAAATGAAAGCTCTCTAATAGAGGTCTTACTGAAAAGTTATGTTGGATCCTAAAGAAAATTCAACAACTGCATTGTTCTTAAAAATAGAAAGTTACTTAGATTAGAATTGACTGTTTTTAAGAGAAAGATTTAACTTACAAGATCACATTGATACAGCAAAAAATGCATTTTGGGAAACAGAATACTTTTTTGAAGTTTGTTACAAACAATTCGTAGACCAGGAATAAATTCACTGAGGCCTCTGCACATTGCCCCATCTGTGGCAGACTCCCACTAGTGAATTAATTACAGATCATTGTCAAGGAAATGAGTTTTTATTGTATAAAAATATAGATAATTCATATCAGAAAAGCAAGATTTTCAAAAATATGTGTACATAATGAGGGTTATAGATTGGGAATTAATACTGCCTGGAATGTGGTTATATAAATAGTGACTTTTCAGTTAGTGCTTTGCTCATATATTTGATTAACTAAACTCTCTTCCTTTATCATAAGAGAGTAGATTTGTAACTTAATCTTCTTTGTAAAATTTTTAAGGTATTTCAGAGTTGGTAATATTATTATGAAAAATGCTTTTCTTTGTTAAGCATCTGTTGTCATGCAGGATACATTCAGTGACCCTGAAGCATTACTTAATGACCTTTTCAAGTTGATTTTTTAGGTGTTTTAATTTGATTTGATAATGGCTCTGGAATATTGTCAAAATCTTGATTTGTAAAAACTTTCATTTTAGGTAAATCCTACTGTATATATATCACTTGTGAGTTTTATCCATTTTATTATTTTTGTGAATATGACATTTCAAGATTATATATATATATGTTGCAGTATTTGTCAGTATAAAGTTGAGAACCTTTTCTCTCTGTTTTTGTATCACAGCCTCTAAGGGAAAGACTAGGAAACTGGCCTTGGTGTAACCCTCAAGAGGAAGGTAAAGGTAGTCGTAACTATAGGTTTTGCTTAACATCGTTACTGTTTCCAGAAAGGAGATGTATAGGTTTTGCAAGAAGGAGAATGGGCAGAGGTGGCAGGTAAGAAATAAGCCTTTATTATTTAGCACATTTCACACCTGCATGGATAAGTCTATTATTTTATTACATTGCAAGTATGTAGATTTAATTGGTTATCAAAACTATACCTTTGAAATAGGTTGTACAAACAAATGTACATTTTAGACAAATATAAACAAACACTATTCAGTATATGTGTAAAGAAATATTTCCTAAAAAAATAAAGATGTTGATTACATTCATAATAGTTAAATTTTATTGATACCTGTCTAATTAAAAAGAAAGAAATAAAACTTACAATTTTTTAAAGCTTACATAAGTATTAACATTAAGTTCCCTTTTGAATTAAAATTGATATTCTAAGTATAGTTATATTTTGCATACTCTAATAAACTTCTCATAAAACCTAGATAAAAAAAACTAATTTTCATTAAAAGCTGCCCAGAAGTTTAAGTGGGCAATTTAAAATATGGAAGCTCTATCCACAAAGGCTTTATATGTATTATATAGTGTGATATTGTTTTGAAAGTTAGTTAATTAATTAACATGTTCAGTAGTGGGAAAAAAATTCTCTTGATGCTTTTTCACATAAAAAGAGAGTTGAGTTTATAAAATTCAAGAGAAAGTACCTTCAAATTCGATTATGAGGAACCCACTCTGGTACTAATAATGCTTGGAGATGGCTTGAATGGGTAATGAAGAAAAACTTTAATATAAATTTAACATAACAGCAAATGTACAATGCTTTGATATGTATCTGATGATGACGAAACCTTGTCGAAACGTTGTACATTTGCTGTTATGTTAAACTTATATTAAAGTTTTTCTTCAATACCCATTCAACCCATCTCCAAGCATTACAAAGTACCTTCAAGCTGGCACCTCGCAAATGATACTAACTGTCAAGGCCACCTTGTAATTTTGGAGGAAAATTGTTACTTGAACTCTTGTTTTATAAGTGGCCTGATCCTTGTTACTCAAGCTGTGTATATTACATTTACTTTGTAATGAAGCCAAATAGCAAGCTTATAACAAAATCAAACCTTCTAAGTTATGTAAAAAGATGTATTATTGAAAAAGGGTGAATGGATTATTAAGATGTATTTGTGTCATCTTTATTTATATTAACAGAAATAAATTTTCATAACTTCCCCCTATTATTTTTCCTCTTGGCTTCAAACTAGTATATCATCAGATGTATTAAATTATTAACAGTTTTATCTACTTGTCAGTGTCATCATGGTTATAAAGTGAAAATTTAATTGTAAACATGATTCAGTAATGGTTTAGAATAAAAAAGATAAGTTGTACTTCAATCAAATATCTACTGAAGGTGAAATAATAATAAGTGGAGCTTGTCATTTTCAGCCAATTGCAAACAACTTCAAGAAAAAACATTTTTTAACTTTTATAAATTAACTAAAAACCACTGGAAAGACCTAGAAATAAACATACAGTAGTAAATAAAAATCAATTTGGATTTAAGTTATGAAGATAAAAGGTTATAAGATTAAATGGTAAAAAAATGCCTACAAATTTATAAACAATCTCACTCTATTTAGAATTGTATAAGGAACTCTAAGAGTCCCAGAGATTCTGTTTGTACCATTTATGGAAAATTTATCACATTTTGAATAGTTAAATACTTACTTCATTACACTTTATCTATCTAGAAGTTGATATCTTTCTGCCCATAATCATAACTAAGGTTTTTAAAATTCCTTGGTGTCCTCTATAAGAAACTCATATTAATAAAAATATTAAATTTATAATAGAAAATGTATGAATTTCAGATTTTTTAGGAAGAAAAAGTAAACTATATTTTCTATCCCTTAATGATAAGGGACAATTTATACCAATTGAAGGTTTGTTTGTTTGTAGTTAAGCTCAAAGCTACACAATGGGCTATCTGTGCTATGCCCACCACGGGTATCGAAACCCGGATTCTAGCGTTGTAAGTCCGCAGACATACCGCTGTGCTACTGGGGGGCCCAATTGAAGGTTTAAATGCAACAATATATAGTATGTAGTTTTTTTGAGTCATTTAAAAAACAACATAGTACTAGTAATATTATTTTTATGACACAGACATATATTTCCTCTTGGTTTTTAAAGAAACCACAAAACAGTTGAAGATAAAAGTCTCTGAAATTACAATTAATTATAGAAACCCTTAACCTTTTTATTTTCAAGGCTTTTGCTCGACCGTGCCTGGACACCCCTAGATGATTATTGGAGCAATTTAGATGTAACATTCAACAACTCGCTGTTAAATGGGATTCCATCCAATACATTTTTATCAGAAGTAATAAATGAGTGGTAAGTGATCATTTAAACTGGTCAATTGTACCTTGCTAATAAACTCTAGTTTAAAAGCTTTGTTAAACGTAAGAATTTACAAATTAATAGTTTCTATGAAAATACTATATAATTGTTTTCATTTCTAAGAGTAAGCATAGTAATGAAACCCAGCACAGTATTATCAAATTTTATATAAGTGTAGTATTAGTAAGAACAAAAATACTTCTTAGCACAAGACACCTTCTTTTAAACATTAGGGACTTGTGCATTTCTTTATACCAATCTTGGTCATATGGTAGTTAAACATCTGATATAAGAATGTTTATATCCTATGTATTTTTTAGCTCACCATTTGTTTTAAACATCTTTTTTTTTGGGGGGGGGATGCAGATTAATCTATTCCAGTTTTTTTATTTTGCATTAGAAACACAATATTATCTTCATTATTAATACATTTTTTGAACATTGAATGTCTGTTGTTAGACTTGTTTGTGTAAATATATCTGTATTTAGCTGAGGTTAAAATTGTTTCCTTTACAAAACAAAACTTAGAAAGGTTGTGTGAAAAATCATCTTTAGGTGAAAAAATATAGTATGTAAAGAGAGAAAGCCTTGGTTAAAGAAATTTGTGATAAGATATAGGTTAACACTTAAGAACTTGACTTTATGTGGATAGCTTTTTGAAATGGTAGATTGAAAATTATTCTGAAAACATGAGCTTTAAAAATAAAGCAGTGAAATGTTATAACTTTAAAAACTGAATGTGTTTATTAATTATCTGTTTGCTTTTAATACATAGTAAATTTGTATTCATGACAAGGATTTAATCAATAGATCTGCACTTTTACATACAGTAACTTATTGGAAATTTTCAACACTTTGGTGACAGTATTATACTTGAGTTTAAAAACACAATCAAAATTTAGATTGCTTTTGATAGATCAACATGTAAAAAAAACTGAAAACATATATTGAAACAGACATTCAAATGATAGTGAATTGTCATTTCCGAATAGACTGTCCATTTCTTGCTATAAAAATCAGATTTTGTAATAAAAACTGCCTTAATTTATAGTAACTGAAAACTGATTTAAGTATTTTGTTTTTTCTGATAAATTATTTGTAAGCTAAATTATAACTTCACTCTCTTGCTATTTATATTAAGCTCTAACTTCTTTTTCCATTGGAATTTTAATTAAGAACATCTTGAAATTTTAATTATCAATCATCATGCATGAGTGTCTTTTATTTATTATTTATCCATCGGAAAATGCACGAGCCAACAAATAGTTACATTCGATTTTACAGCGCATGATGTAATGTGAGTAATGCTAAGTTGTTTTATTTCGCTGTGTTTATGAGATATCATCACCTACTGTTTGAGCTAAAGCAGAATTTTGGTGTTCTTTTTCTCACTATTTTTTGGGTGAATTCCATGCATTTGTGTGTGTGCTACATCAACCCAAACAATTACTGTAACCTTTACTGTTTAACTACACCTTTAAATGGAAGTAATATGCATATCAGGATATAGCTCTTATTACATACATGGGATAAGAAAGTGTTTTTTATTTTAAGGGTGACAATATGTGAGAACAAACAAGAAGCAGTAATGATATTGTATGACGCTCGTTTTGGGCTTAGCCATGTGAAAAAATGTCTGAGAATGAAAGTGACCAGGTGGAGGGGGAGGGAGGTATTTTTTATATTTATTAATGAACGTTCTTTCATCCACCATTGATGTTGTATGCTTTCAAGAATAAATATTTATTTACAACAAAGAAAAAATAGATAACTACCTCTCCAAAGTAGATGCAGATTGAATTCATTGCTTCATGTCACTAGCACTAGGATTAGTATATATATCATAAAATGTAAGAGATAAAGTAAGGATCTGCTGATCATGGTTGCTAAGAGCATGCGTTGCAAGCCCTCAGTCCAGCATTTGCTACTGCATTTGGCATGATTACTTTTTTGGAATTTTTCTCTTAGTGGTAAGTAGTTAGGAAATACAGGCCATTTTAAGTTTTTTACAGTTGATCTTTGCAAAGGTGTGCACATTGAACTTTCAGATTGCTAAGAGAATTAATTCTTGTTTGTTTTTTTATAATGGACAAAGGTTGGGAACTGAAAGATTTTAAATTTTCTGGAAAACTTGATGTGAATATAAAAAAAGAAAGGCAAAGCTGATGGATTAAATTTTGCAGACCTATTCTAGAAGTGCATTATTTCAGAATAAAACCAAAAAATTTGCCATTTTTAATTCTGTAAATGAGTAATCAACTTGCCTAACTTATGCATAATTAGCAAACTACATAAACAATATAACTAAAGTAGTTGTTGTTGTTCTTTTATAGCCACAAAACTACCATTCTATTGGATGTCACTCTACACCTTTTGTCTTGAGAATGTTGAACTTTCTGGCTTTACTCTGGTTACCACCACTATCAGACATGAGTGTATAATGGAGATATCTTATTTGAGGGCATATAAAAGCATACGTTAATAAATTTTAAAAATTTTAGTGTTCTTTTAAGTTGATTAAAAAATTATAAATTATTGCTAACTGTTGATATTCATTTCTTAACATTTTGTAATCTCTGTTTTATTATCAGGTATTTATAGTGGAACTGCAAGAGCTGTGCACATTTCACACACCACTTCTGTCTTCATTTTAGGGTTTGATATCTTTTTAAGAGTTTTATATTTGAATAACTTTTAAATACACAGAATATTTTGAAGTTTCAGGTCTGGTCAACCCCACAAATACAGTGTTCAGTTATTTTTTATTTCTTTACTACAAAATATAACAAAAGGATTTTTTGAAAACTTATTTTAAATTTATAATATATATATATATACACATTATACATAGTAATTTCAAACTCAGAAACTGAATTGATTTTGAATATTTGAATCATATACACATTTACTGTTCTTCTTCTGAAGAAGAATAGGTAATATTTTGAAATCTCTGAGCTTCTGGGTCTTTTCAAAGTCTACTTGAATTTTTAATATTTTTTGTGATCCATCATGCTAATTCTTTTATCATGGCTATTTTATACATTGTTTGATGTGTTTCAACGTGTGATCTGACTCCGTTCCTCCATATTCATAATAGCAGCTTTTTCACTAAAAATTAAATGTTGTGTGATTAAAAAGAAGGAAATGAAGAAAAGTGATTATAAGTGGGTAATAATAACTAATTCCTTTTCATATAAATAGGTTTAAAAGTTGCCATGTTTCTAATTGTCAGTGGAATTGAAACAGTATAAATATTACACACAGTTTGTAATTGGTATTTAGTACTATTCTTATTTATACATTTACTTAGGCAGACTGATGCCAGAATAACTTTCATTACCTGTTACTGTTACTCACTTGTAATACACAACCCAAAAGGATTTATGGTTTTATACATTTTGTAATCTGGCATTGTTCAGTTTATTTCATGCCCCACAGTGGCACAGCGGTATGTCTGCGGACTTACAATGCTAGAAATCGGGTTTCGATACTCGTGGTGGGAAGAGCACAGATAGCCCATTGTGTAGCTTTGTGCTTAGCTTCAAACAAACAAACAAAAGTTTATTTCTGTTTATATCAGGTTTTTCTTTTGCAGGTGATCCCTTTTTTTGGTTTTCACTTGGACTAAAATAATGCATTTTGAAGTGTTTTTAAGGCGAAAACTTTTTTTAAATAATTAATAGCTTTATTTTTCTTTTTAGGCCATTTTTTCGACCTCAAACTCCACCATTTCTTAATTGTAAAGAAAATACTGTGTTATTAAATTGTGAGTCATCAGCTCAATTGTATAGCTCAATGAAAAAACTGCCTTCCGAAACAGATTTTGAAAATTTCCAGCATCACCAAGAAGACTTGTTTGAAATGCAGCGAAAGCAACTTGAAAGATTAAAGCAACAAGAACTCAGTACAGAAATCTCAAAGAACCTTGAACATTCCTTTTCATCTCAACCTACATCACATTTTACGTTAGATTCTGCAAGTGTTCAGTTTGCTGTATCAGCCCTACTCACTGTATCAGAAGTCTCTGAAATAATGAATTCTGTAGTTTCTACAGTAACATCAGGTGGACCAGATGGATTTATTATACATTCTTATAATGGGATAACTCATGAAGGTAAGGATGTACTATATTTTTAGGAACTTTTATGGGTGTAGTAGAGAAATAATAATTGAAAAGGATTTTGAAAAATTTGCTGTAATTTTAGGAATTTTTGTGGGTGTAATAAATAAATAATAGTTGGAATGAATCTGGTTAACTTTAAAAAATTGTGACATTTCTAGTTTTTAATTATTTTGTAAGTGTATAGTTATGGAGTTTAATGTAACTATGTAGATTTTTTTATATAATTTATTTAGAAGGGGTTTAGTCCTCGGGCAGTTTTAAATGTTTGTAAGATATAAATGTGTTATAAAATCCAAAATTTTTAAGTTGTAGGTTTTGTAAGAACAATAAACATTGTATAATTTGTCTGTTTTAATCATTTTTATTATTATTTTCACTTTTCCAGGGTTTTACAGGTGTTATTAGTTAATAGTTTAAATATGCAGGTTGTGTTTTATCAATTTAATTTACATATTCTTTTTTTTCCACATTCAAGTTTAAAAACATTGTAATTACCAACTTACACATTCAGCAATTAGCTATCACTAAATCATTTTAAAACTGCCAGATGACTTGTGGATACTTAAGAAAATAAAACTTGAGGGTTTATTTTCCCAATGAGAACAGCTAAAATAATGTTTATTCACTTAAACGGTAATGCATAAGTACAACTTTCCAATACCACGAACAGGTCATTTTTGGCAAAAACAGTCATTGACAGATGCTAGACATAACTGTCTGATATTAACACTATACTCACAATTATTGAAATGGTGGCTAGCTAAGTGATTAAAAAGCGAAAAAGCTTTTTTGATCCAACCTTGGAAAATAAACATATTTTTAAGAAATTTGAACACAGATGCTAGACATAACTGTCTGATATTAACACTATACTCACAATTATTCAAATGGTGGCTAGCTAAGTGATTAACAAGCGAAAAAGCTTTTTTGATCCAACCTTGGAAAATAAACATATTTTTAAGAAATTTGAACACAAAACCTTAAACACTTAAAACAATTTTTTTATACTGTTAATAATATTTGCTATTAAAAACTTAGATTATTTTTATTAATTTCTTACTGATAGTAAAATTGTTTCTTAGAATATCCAACACCAAGTCTATAGAATATCTTGGCAAAGCAACATATTGAAAAAGGTTGGACTGTATGTGCAAGATGGGAGTGAAAGGTGTCTTAAAGATCACGGGTCTCTAATTGAGCTGGGCAGTTAGTAGAATTTGCTAATCAATTAATTCAACCAAATTCATTAATCAATTACATTCAACTAATCAGTTGTTCTCACATGAAACTTGGATAGCTGAAATAATTGAAAAAGGTAATAATCAGAAACACTAATTTCAATTAGTAAAACCATAATAATTAGAAACACTAATTTAAATTAGTTGATTATTTTTTGTGAGTCCTGATACTAATCAGTTAAGCTTAACAACTTTGAATTAATAAAAATAATGAGAAATCATTATGCCAATATTTCAATTAATTAGATAGTTAGAAACACTAATTTTGATTAGTTGATTACTTTTTGACATTAATAAATTCAATCATGATTTCATTTAATTAACTACTTTACGTGACACTAATCAATATAACCAATACACATAGGTAATCAGTCATATCGATTAATCAAGTTAAATGCCCAGATCTAGTCTCTAGCTTCCTTGTGTAGCAATGTCATTCTTATACAGAAGTTAAAGATTGGACATGTGAGCCAGTTGCTACTATTTCTTGGAAGGTGACTAATGTTACTTCTTTGTCCTGGTAATTATAAACTTATTGATTTTATATCATTGATGGGAAAACTTTTGAAAGTCTGATAAAAGATGCTTTGCAAAGTCATTTAACAAAGTTTAAGATTTTGTTTGATGGTCAACATTGTTTCACTATGGGAAAATGTTACTTTACTAATATTTTGACATTCTTTAAAGAGGTTATGTAGATGAGGGTATGTGTGTGTGTATTTTGTGTAGCTGCACTTTCAGACAGCATTTGACAAGGTGTCACATAAAAGGCTTAATAAAAGAATGATTTCTATGGGTGTGAGAGATCAGTTGGCTCATTGGATAGAAAAGTGACTGGATGGAAGAAATCAGAGAGTTGTTATAAATAGAATTCGATCAAACTGGATTAATGTCACAAGTGGGATACCTCGGGCATCAGTTTTATGTTCTTTGTTGTTTTTTATTTACATTGATGACACAGATGAAGAAGTGGTCAATAAATTAATTAAATTTGCTGAAGGAGAAGGGGATGCTATACAAAAGGATTTAGATCCATTGGCAAATGGCAGGTGGCTTTTAATTATAATAAATACAAGATAATGCTTGTGGGTTATCAGTTTTATGTTCTTTGTTGTTTTTTATTTACATTGATGACACAGATGAAGAAGTGGTCAATAAATTAATTAAATTTGCTGAAGGAGAAGGGGGATGCTATACAAAAGGATTTAGATCAATTGGCAGGTGGCTTTTAATTATAATAAATACAAGATAATGCTTGTGGGTTATCATAATTTCAATTATAAGCATAATTTTTATGGGAATAATCTTAACAGCATTATGGAAGAAAAGGATTTGGGTGTTGTGATTCATCAATCTCCTAAGCCATTCAAGCAGTGTGCTGTTGCTTATGGTAAAGCAAATAGGATTTTAGGTTTCATCTATAGAAATATTGAATATAACTATAAAAAACTTATAATTTTGTTGCTTAGGTTACTTATTTAGCCCTAATTTGGAGTATTGTGTTCAGTCTTGGACTCCTTACCTTAGGAAAGAGATTTAATGTTTGGAAAGAGTTCAGAGGAGGGCTACTAGGATGATATTTGGTATGAAAAGGTTGTCATACACGAGTAAGTTAAGATCTTGATATTGTTTTCTTTTGGGAAAAAAAAAAAAAGTTAGAGAGGATCTGATTGCGGTGTTTAAGATTGTAAAGGGAATTGATAGTGTTGATGCATCATCTCCTTTCGTACTTAACGGTGGGAATGGTAGGGGACACAAGTATAAATTTTGGTAGGATAAGAGTCATTTTCAACTACGACAGTTTTATATTTTAACAAGATGTTTGGCCTTTGAAATGGCTTACCTTATAATGTGGTGGATACAGTTAATTTAAGGGAGTTTGAAGGAAGGCTTCATAAGTATTTGAATGAAATGGGCTAGTTTTGATATTTTTTTTTACTTTAACTTGATTATCCCAACAGGTCACTTGTTGTCCTTAAATTTTGTTATATCATTTCATTGAATGAACTGAAACTTGTAAGTTTTATAAAATTTGGTAGATAGACAACCATATTCCTTCCAAAGTGCTCTTTGTCCATAAAATAGCAGTTTCCTTATGTTTTTTATAAGCTATTAGGTAATAGGCCCAACTTTCAAATTAACTCGTGCTATTTACTCTTGAAGGGTTAAAACTTAGCATCACATCGAAGAGCTTTAAATCTGTTAACCAAGCTTAAAACAAACGTGTATGTTTTAAAAATAATACACAACTATCACTACATTAAGCTGCCTTCTTCTTTTTTCTGATAGAAATGTGTATAGCCATTTCTTACTTTTGTAATATTACATTGTTTTTTCACAATGCTGTAGAAAAATAAAATTTTTATGTAAATTATAAATGTATAATGAAGTCTCATGCTCTACAAATTTATTTTATTTTTGACAGAATATGAAGATGCAATGAATGGCACAGTTCATGCTGTTATCAATGGTAATTGTGATGAAAAGTCCTCTCATGACCCATCAACAGACTCTGTTATCGAAGTGACTTTTCCAACTTTGATGTCCTCAGAGTCGCAGTGTTTCCAAGTGCTGCCATCCTCTGATCTTGATGATGAGGACTCTAGTTCATTTTACAGTCCACCTTCAATTATTCAGAACAGTTTTTCAAGTAACATTGATCGTCAAGTCAGCTAAAGAAGCATTCCATGCGTGTCATAAAATGTGGAATGAAAGTAGAACTGTTAGATATTGGTGGCTAGTGTATATCAAGTAAAATAATGAAGAAAAATGGTCTAGTCAAAAAAATGATTTGTTACTAGTTTGTATTTAAATGGATGCACAAGAAGACATCACATTTGAAAACCTCTACTTAACTCACAAGCAGTGAGAAGAAAATTGTTTTTAATTGTTATAGTTCAAACTGGAACATAATGCCCATTTTAAATTCAAAAAATATCCTTGAACTTTTTTGTATGTTTATTATAAATTTTTAGTCATTTAATAAAACTTAGCAGTATAGAAACTTACTTTGTACTTGATTTTAATATGAATCTACAATAAAATCAAGCCATGGGTTTTATGCAGCTTATTGATGTGCTCCACACGCATCTTGCATCTGCTGTAACTTATATACATCAATGGGTCAACCTGCATGAAAATGAGATACAGACCTCTCCAACCAGATCCGAGCAGCTTCTGTGCCACTGGCATGTACCAAAGCCAGCCCCAATCCTTATCTTGTACATTGTTTACTTATCGTCATCTCACAGTGCTTTTAATGCTTGGTGGCATTTGCTAGTTGTTGACAGGTAAACTTGTGAACATTGACTAATGCAGACCTTAACCACTACATGTATACCTGTGAACAATGTGAGTCATCTATTCTAAGGGGAGGACCATACCTCACGCATACAGGGATCATGATTTACTACCTGAATATGAGAGTATTTGGTGAACAGTCTGTTGATCTATATTCAGTTACTTTATAGGCCATCATAATGTATGAAAAGTGTAACTTAAGGGAATTTTTAAGAGTACTTGTGGATTGGGTTAAATTGAAAATTTCAAATACATCAAGGGCCTTATACTACACGCTTTTCGGTCAGAATAGCTTGTACCTTCTATTCAGATATCCCCCGCCATACTTTTCATCAATTGTAAAGCCATAAGCTGTCACTGTTCCATGTGATTACATCCTCATTCCAAATCTATGCAACACCCACCTCAATTGAATCTTTGTATTCTCCGAGTGTCTAATCATAGACATAATGGATATTTCATGCAAGTTATTTTCATAATAGAAAAATACAAGACACACGTAAATATATTTTACAACAATTAAGTTAAGAAGTATTTTTTACTATCTACAAGAGTTGCAAATATTAGCAGCTTTATAAACACAAATTTACAAAATATGGAGATGATTATCCCAACGAGTTTCGACGTACTACGTACGTCATTATACACTTGAAAATGACGTACGTGGTACGTCGAAAGTAGTCGGAGTAATCATCTTCATATTTTGTAAACTTGTGTTTATAAAGCTGCTAATCTTTACAATATTTTACAACAAACTCCACAAAGAAGTAAGGAGAATTAATACAGCTTTATTGTCAGTCATTTGATGAAAAATTACACAAGTCAGTAATGTAAAAAAGTATGTTAGCTTATTCTAATTACAATTACGAAGCAAATATAATTAGGTATATCAGAAATCCGCTTATTCAAGTGCGAGATACAGTTCACATTATTTTCTTTAATTACTGGATAATATATATGATTGCTTTTTACCTAAGTATTTCAAGTACAATATATATATATTGCACACAACTAAATCCAGAAACTATGAATACTTCTTCTGAACATGATTTACTAACTATTAACAACAAAAATAGTCTTTCATACAGTGGTAAAAACATCAACAACCAAACACTTCTACAGAATTTATATTTAGATCATGTATAGTTATATTATTAATACAGCTGTTAATTTCATTCTCAAACACAAGACCTTTCTTTACAAGCAATTAGAAACAACTAACTGTTCAGAAATGCTTTTAAATTATACAAATTAATATTTTCATTGTCAGTTATCGCTACTAGAACAGAATTGTCATCAGTATCAACAGTTAGCACCAGGTTTGTTACTAGATTAGGAATTAGAGATACGTATAAAAATATATGTATATATAAAATAGATAACCATGAACTTTAAAATCAAATTACCTCCCTTTTCATAGTTTGTTTGAAACAGAAATGATAATGAAAAATTTTTTTTTTAAAAAGTTATTTTTATATACGTTTGCTTTATTCTTGAATTAGTATGTTAAATTATGAGAACAAGGATGTTTCCAATAATACTAAATAAAAATCAATTTAACGTATTTCAGTAAAAAAAGATAGGAATGATGGACCGTTATCAAAAATACTACTACTACACATATAATCATTGCTTAGTTGTGATAATACTGAGCTTGCAATGAAGTAAAATACTAAACTACACTTTTGTGACCTGTGTTGCACAAAAAATATGTAAATTCAATGCACAATATTTTCTTAGTAATTTATGCTCAAATAAAACATTTTCTTTCACATTATGAAATGACAAAATGTGCATAATTGATTAATATAACTGTTTCTGAAAAGATGAAAGAAATGTAAAAAAATAAAAACACACAAAAAACAAATACACATAACAATTCTGTACTAAATGTTTTCCTCCAAAAGAAATATTATTTTATTGATAGTTTGAAATGATTAATTAGTTTTCTAAGCCTACTTAATGTTAGCAGAAAGTTATGCTGTGTTTTCAGGAAAATAATAAAGTTTCCATTTAAACTTAATGTACTCAATTTTCATAATTAGAAGTAGAAAATTAAAATTAATGACAGTTATTCACTTTCAGAACAAATAAATGCCTAATATAAGAAATGCTAGTTTAATCTCTTTACCAGTACTTGTATCATAAAAGCTTAACTTATAACAATATCTTTATATAACTCTTGCATTATATTGTTGCAATAGAGTTCATTATTACATCAATAGGATGGAGTCAAGGGCATGAAGTTTAATAGTGATTATAATAACATACATGTAAAGTTCATCTCGTGCTTCTCTGTGTATTGGCAATAACCATTTAAAGGCATACAAGATGACAAAGTCATCATAATGAGCTTTAAGAAAATGCTTCAAAGGAACCTTTTTTTTAAATCTTACATTTATGAATTTTATCAAGAAACCTATGGTTATTCGAAGGTTTTCTTTTGTTGCATATTGGAAAATAAGATTTTTCTTTATAAATTAATGCTCTTTAGAACCTTTTTATAGGCTAATAAAGTATAAACCATTTATGTGTGCATCAAACTACCACTTCAAAATTCCTTTTTATTGAACTCTTATACATACAAGTTTGTACATAATGTATAAACCCCAACTTTCCTGGTTTAATTCCACTTTTAAGCATATAGTACCACTACCAACATTAATTTCAGTTTATGACTAGCATATTATATACAATCTGTGTTATATAAACTAGAAAAAAAAAAAGTTCATAAACTCACTGAGATTTATTAAAATTCTAATATGTATTTCAGAATACCTGAAATTACACAATTGTATTACAGGCGAGCATAAAAATAGAAGCTTAATGTCAGTTTAGCAAAAATATAAATGCTTTACAAGATTTCATGGTAACATAATGTGCAGATTGTGAAGAGATATTTGTGTTTTAAAATATGCTGGAGATTGGAATGAAAGAATCTATGCCACTAAGCGACACAATGGATATAAAACTTTCAAAGAATACATATTCTCATAGTACACAAAATGACACTGACATGCATGGCATAAGAAAACTTGAGCATTTTTTTTTTCTATGAAAGAAAACTTCTCATGATACATTCACTATATATGTTATGCATGTATGAAAGGTTTTTGGCTAGGACATGCTGTTATACAATTAACACCTTAGTTATTTCCATGAAAAGAAAATACTCGTATGCAACTCAAGATTTAGGAAGAATTTGAAATAATATGCAACAAAAATGAGTCATTCACCAGCAAATTTTGAAAAGTGATTTCTATTAAATCTTCTCTAAAACTATGGCATGGATGGTGATACTAAACAAAAACATACATAATTTTAAGTTTCTATCAGCTAGAACTAAAACTTTTGCAGTAAAAACATATTCAGTGGCTTATTTTCTATTAAGAAATAATTTTTCTTTGCCAAATACCAGGAACAAGTTAAAAACAAATCTCATACTATACAAATATATGTTACTCTTTTAAATTTTTGTATTTAGACCAAGAATCATCACACCACAGTTTGATAGATCAACAGATTACATGTTAGACAGATACATATTTAATAAATGCTATACTTTTAACTTGCTCAATGAATTCATTCAGGGAGAACCATAACCATGATATTCATCAGGAGCTTTGTTCCCATACTTTGCTCTGCGAAGAGCTGCTAACCGTTCTCTTGCTTCCTCTAGCTCTCTCTCTTTACGAAGAATTTCTTCTCTTGCAATAATTTCTTGAGCTATACCACCAACCATTCTCTTATTAATGACCAGACTTCGTTCTTCATTATTTTCAATTGATTTTTGGGCAGAACGAACCAAGTTATCTGTAGCTTTTTTAACAGCATTTCCAGCATTCTACAGACATATAAAATAATAATAATTCAAATTGCTAAACACAATTTTTCTATTTCTCAATGACAGTTTAATGCTGTGTAAGTAGGATTATTTTCACACTAATATTATGTTAGCATTGCTGAAAGAGAACTTCCCTACTTCAACTGAGTAATATTTAGTTTTTCACAATATATGACTGATTCACTAGTCCTAAGAGAACACAGCAGCACAAAATGATATATAAGCATCATTACAAGTATCCTTTGGATTATAAGGTCATGATTGACTACCACATAGAAAAACTATGATAATGATTTAAAAAAAAGCCTTATTTTTTCCGATCTCTTACCTGAAGACGTTTCATGGCTTGCGACTCGGGATCTGCTTTAACCTTACATGCAACAAGCAGCTGAGCTGTTGAGCTAGCAACCTGCTTAACAGAAGAGATGAGCTTTTCTTCTGTAGCGTGACCTTGCACGAGTTCATTAGCTGATTCAACAAGGCTGTGAGTTGCAGCAGCAACAAGTCGTGCCTGAAAGAAAATAATTAACAGATGTTTTACTTGCATTAACCATATTGGTGTTTGGGGGTTTTGGTGCTAAGCAATGTGGTTATCTGCGCCAAACAACTGGTATAAAAATAAAAACAAAAGGTAAAAGACTCAAATAGATTTAAAAATGCCAATGGCCTGTAAAAATACAATCAAGCTGGACAGTGTCACCATTGCCAATGACACCGTCCAACATCAGTGGTAAACACATAGAAAAGACATGTCTAAAATGGTGCCGCTGCTCACACTTGAAATGATGGCATGAAAGTAAAATATGGGCAATTGTGACTTGAATGTCACAAAGGCCACACACTGGCAGGTCAGTTCCATATAAAAGAAAATGATGAGTAAAAAAACTGTGACTAATACCTACACAAGACAACTTCCTCCCTCTGATCGTTAAGGAAATTAGACGGCCAAACAAGAATAGTAGGTTTAATCTAGAAAAGCTTGTTGGGAAGTTGCTCACCTCAAATCAAATGCTAACTGGCACGAAACCAGGCTTTGATCAAAGGACCAAAGTCCATATAGGAGACAGGCAAGGCTGTGATAGCACCAGAGCAGACAGACTTAGCTGTAGCATCACCACGCTTGTTCTCTAGAATACTGACATGGCCAGGTATCCAAAAAAACTGGATAGAAATGGATGACAGAAAACTGAGCCAGTCGTTTCTGAATGTCAAACAGAACAGGGTGAAAACTAACATTAAGCGATTCCAAGGTATGTAGAGAGCTAAGAGAGTCCATATAAATAGTACAGTTAGTGTACTGGTTAGCTTCTATGTGATTCAGGGCAAGAGAAATGGCATACAACTTGGCAGTGAACACAGAAAATGTAGAAGGGATCCTATGAGCAACCACTGAGCCACAACAAACCGTGGCCGAGCCCACAGAGTCACTTGATTTTGAACCCACTGTGGCAGAGCCCACAGAGTCACCTGATTTCGAACCCTCCGTAAAAAATGGGAATGGAAGAATGGTTTGAAAGATGTTCGGCAAACAGAAGATGGTATTTCCAATCGTGAGTAACCGCCCTCTTTTGATGACTCAAAGAAAGGTCACAGGTGGGGATGGTAATGAGCCATGGTGGGATGGGCTGATCCTCAGCAACATCATCCAATGATAGACCCAATTCAGCCAGCTGTGCCTGGATACATAAGCGAAAAGGAGGAATTGCAGACCGTCTATTCTGAAAGAGCATAGCCCACAAAAGTAGGAAGACACAACCCTAGGTGGGATGCTGTGGTAAGGATTGAAGCTTGGTAGCATATTGTAAAGAAAGTTGCAAACATAGGAGGTGTAAAGGTTCATGGGACTCAGTACAAACTCTGGACTGGCAAACTGAGGAAAGCCCCTGAGCCAAACAATATTGTAATATTGTATTCATAAACCACCATAGCTAAAAACAATTATAATGAAAAAATATAAACTCTTGGCTCCTCTCATTAAATATGAATATTTCTAACTATATCGGCCAGAGAACTTTGTACTCTGAAGTTTTTTGTTACACTCAAGATGCAAAAATTAGAGTGATTAAAATTTAACCAATATATAATGTCATGTTTTCATCATCATTATAGATCTTTAACATGTCCACTAAACTAACATCTACATAATTATAAATCATAAGTATAATTCTTTTTCAATATACGCTTTCTTTCTTCTTATATTACACTAACAACTTATCTCTTAAAAAATAATTAATGACCTTTGCAAGTTTTCTATAACTCAAGTATGTTGAACTAACTCTCTAGCAAGAAGCACAGTATAAAACAAAATGTGTATTACCTGAAAGTTGTATTCGTTTCAACAATTCATACTTGAGAGATATGTATAAAGCACAAAAGGTTGCCCGATTTATTTTAATTACTAATGTTTCATACATGTTACTTGCAAAATTATCTAATAACTGAATCATAAAAACTATGATATGGTTGGTAAAGGTTTACGTGTACAGGAAGATAACACTTACAGCTGATACAAGTCCCTCAGACCACTGACCATCATCAGAAGTATACAGAGGATGAGCCCCAATCTGAAACAGTAATGCAGAAACTCGTAGATAAAAAATTTAACACACCACCACTATCACTTCAAAAACTTTCGTTTAAGCAACAATTATTGAGGGGATGTTATTTAAAATGTTGATTCATGGGCTGATTCAAATATAACACCAGTTTTTTAACACATTTCTAGCAGGTATCAGGACTTATATTCAAAGATATTTAGGGACTTTCTGATTTACGATAAAATATGGTAGAACAATATTTGTTTCTTTTCACCACTTAAAAGAATAACATGCTAGTATGATTTTTCTTGTCCTTTGACACAAACATTCTGAGTGATGTAATGTAATTTTTTTTAAAAAGTTTAATAAATAAAGTTGCATTTCAAAAACTTGATACATCAGAAGTTCCAAAAAAAAAGGTTACAGTTTGAAATTTTTTTGTTGTTGTGGAAGATCAGACCTATTTTCTTTTTAGATTAAAATAGAATTTTACAATTAATTTTAGTAAAGTAAGAACAGATATAGTTCTGTTGTTGCTCTTTTAGAAGTTAGATATTTACAATGTTTCAAATACTTTAGGAATACTGTGTAATTCAAATTTATGAGTAAAATGTAATTTTTAATAATTTTTACTAAGCTTACACAATCAACATTTTTATTATAACTATCATAAACTTTTACTATACCATTCCAGCATCCACCAGCTCTTTCTGTGCAGCAGAAGCAGCTTTCACTAAGGCAGACGTAGCAGCTGTTATGGATTTTGCTGCTTCCAGGATCATTTCATCGAAGTTCATTTCTTCATTGGCTTCCTAAAGTAATTTATTGCTATATTTAAACACTAGGAGATTCATGTTTAAAAGATAAAAAAAGCTGAAAAGGACTTTTGTTTTCTTGTAATTTTCAAACACCCAGAATTTGTTCACCTTGTCTCCCAAAAAAACAGTAAGCCAAAAACAAAAAATTGAGATTCAGAAATAATGTATGGAAAATAAAAGATTTAATATTTTATAGATTAACTTTCTGATGCAGAAGTTTAATATAATATTAAATAAAACGTTAACTGTTATAGCCCACTTCAGTAATATGTTTAAAAAATGTAGACACGATGAAAAATTGTGGTTTAATTTGGTGGTATACACAATGTCTCACTTATTATTAACTTTCACGATTGTCAATCAGAATACTACAACAATCAGTCATTTTTATCATTAATTCCAAATTGGATATTCCCAAGGTTAAAATTTTTAGATTACTTATTTTATTGGAAGAAGACGAACAAACACAATCATGCAATTTTTAAAGTTAGTTTCAAAATTCTAATATTAAACTACTTAGCATTGAATAGCACATAAAAAGCTTTTGCAATCACAAAAAAGAATATTATTATTTCTCAAAAACAAAGTATTCCTAAAAAGGCATAGCTATGTTAATTAAACAATTCTATAATGATAAGAAAACTAGTAACTTATGACTTTCTGTTTAAGGAAACATTTGATTTGCTTCTCCTCTAGTTTATGATCAAATAATGCACTACAGTATTTGATGCTGCAAGAAGAAACAGTTTTTGTATTTTTTGTTTTCAACAAAGACCAATTACACATAAACAATGATGCACATTTAAATTTCAACTGTACTTTTAAACATACTATTAGACCTATATTTTTTGTACCAAAGCCAAGATTAAAGGTTTTTTTGATAGGTATTTCCCCCCCTCTATAAGCATATGTTTGACTCTTAGTTGAAATAAGTTTCACAACCAAGAATATCAAACATATCTCACAGCATAGGGATCCTTTCTTCTCTGCAACTAGGAAGTGTTGAACCGCTTCTGCTCTGCCTGACATCTTATTGTGAAGTAAAATTAATCTTATATAAATTTTATAACGGTACATAAACAAAAAAAACTCATCTAACTGTTTAGATTCAACCTATAAACCAAACAATACAAACCAAAACAGAAAAAAAAAGATCCAGGTAACAAACCTTGATGTCGTTTCTTCTTGGCTTAAGATGGGCCAATTTTTTGGCAGCAGCATCAATGGATGAGGCTGCTCCAAGCAGTTCAGTTTCTGCTATCACTGTTGGATCATCTGGGTCAACCCAGTCTCCACCTGAAATTTTTATCTTATTAATAAGGTTTTGTTTTATATCAAACTGTTACCAAAACCAGTTTTTTTGGCTTCCTACTGAGATTTCATGTGATAGCAAACATTGAAACTCAGTATTCAGTAACAAATATCAACTTAAAATATATTGCTACTGTAACCTTCTGCACTGGTTATACATTACAACAGTATTACAGTATTAAAAAACAACAACAATTCAGCACTTAAAAAAGACAGAGAATACATATTGGTTATACTATTTTCTGTATGCATGCATTATCACTATAAAGGACTATTACAGATGACTAAAAATCATATTACACATTTACTGTGCAGCAAAGTAGATGAACTTTAAAAGGCTATTCTACACCATACAATAATATAGTTATTGTTGTAGAAAATATATTTTTTTATGCTTTTAGCTCAAAACAACTCATTATATCATATCATGTTAGGCTTAATGGAGTAAACATTAAAGCAAAAATATATAGTAAATAGTAGCTTAAGAGAGTTTATGACATCAAATTCTAAAATAACAAAAATAAAATATTTTACATATAATATACAGTCTGTTTCTATAGATGATCTATACACAGCATAAATGAGAATTAAATTATCTTATGACCCAATTTTAATGACAACCTGATAATGATCCAAACATGAGATAATAATCAAACTGTAAGAACAACAAAAGGTAATAACAGAAGGACTGAAGTTTTATATATTGCAAACCTTGACATATTTTCTCAAACTGGGAAAAGATATAAAACAAAAACTTAAGCATATGATATTAATTACAAACACAGCCATACAGAAATTAAAATATATATAATGTTCCATTTAGCAACACCATTGTATTTTTTCTTCTGAACACATGTTTAAGCTTCTTAGGATGAAATACATTATAATCTCTACCTTTAATTTATTGTCATAGCTAACCTTTTAGGGCTTCTGCTCCACTCACAATCTCGGAAACAGATTGAGCAATTGTTCTTGACATTCCAATTAACTGCTGCTTGCTCTCATGGCTGGGTCTCTGAATTACCTATTTTTGACAATATTTTTTGCTTATTAATAGATTTCTGAAAAACTATTAGTAGCAGACTGGTTTAATTTCTTATATTACAAACATTTTAATTATCATTCACCCTAATGTTAACTCAAATAAAAGGTCTTTAAACATAAACTAACTAAGACCTCAAACCTAAATTGACATACCTTGATATTCAACACTACCTTTGAGTCTAAACTTTATAATAGTTCTTCAACTTCAATTACAGCATTTGGCTTACTTGGTTTTAAAGTTATTTATAATTTTAGAGTGCACAAGCTATAATAAAATCAAGCTCAAACTACTGTTATTTTTCTACTTTTCCTACACAGAACAAATTAAGGATCAATATTATGAGCAGTTACAGGGGGAATGACTTGATGCTTAGTGATAACTTTTGCAATGTTACAATCAACAGTCTTTTCAAACCTACTTGAATAAAGAAATTGTGTTTGTTTGTTTTGAATTTTGTGCAAAGCTACACGAGGGCTATCTGCACTAGCCGTCCCTAATTTAGCAGTGTAAGACTAGAGGGAAGGCAGCTAGTCATCACCACCCACCACCAACTCTTGGGCTACTCTTTTACCAATGAATAGTGGGATTGATCGTAACATTATAATGCCCCCCCTGGCTGAAAAGGCGAGCATGTTTGGTGTGATGGGGATTCGAAGCCGCAACCCTCAGATTGCGAGTCGAGCACCCTACCCACCTGACCATGCCGGGCCTGAATCAAGAAATAAAAGTATAAATAAATATTTAGCAAAAGATTTCTTAACTTTGTGGCAACAGTAATACTTCTAATACTGTCAGTAATACTGACAACTCTGCTGAATTTTAAAATGACTTTACATTTCCTATTAAGCATAGTATATTTATAGATCTGTAAAAACAAACTAGTATCATAAAAGAACATACGTTTATAAATAAAGCTACAAAAATCTGTATTCACTACAAACAGATCCTTGTAAAGGACTAACTAACCTGATGAACCATTAACAACAGCTCTCTGTAATTTGTGGCACAACTACGACTTGTCTCCAGAATTTTTGTTTTAACTTCATCACTTTCAGCAGAATAGGCAGCTGCCTGTAAGGCACGAAACAAAATGCTTTAGTTAACACACAAGGGAACTATTTTTAAACTCCAAATGTATTTATAAAACTTCAACAAGTTTTTACAGAGACTGCAAATGATAATAATCAATAAATTATTTTTATCATTTCCAATATAATGCACGTGAGTATCATAAAACAAGCACTTTTTTTTTCTCCACAAAATTTTGCCTCATACGATTATGTTGTTGCTCTGTCTTATTTCTCAGTGCAGTCACTTTGGTTTCTATTTTCTGTCAATAGAGAGACAATCCTTAAGTTAAAAAGTTCTGGTATGGCAATCAGTTCTGGCTGAAAATGTAACTTATTGCAATTGTTGTAATTAAGCCAGTTTTAGCTTAGTTTCTTCTGCAAAGAAGTATTATGTTCAAAATAGATAGTAATATTTAGGAATGTTGAGTGAAGTTACAAGTTTTGGGTAGGACGAGTGTACTTACTCCACAATTGATCATAATTATGCATAGATGTACATTCAGATTGAGTAACCTAACCAAATTTTGTGAAGGATGATGAACTGTTAACAAAAGATTACAGTGGACGTATGAAAAGGAAACAAGCTAGAGGTGAATCTGTCCATGTCTAGTTATGTCATATGAGTGAACACACAAGTATTTCATCTTCAGTTGTAACTCATTCTCCACTATAATCTAACAACAAGAAAAAAAAACAGAGGAAGAAGACAAGAAATATAAATGTGTAATGTTTTATTATAAATGTAAGACCCGATTGTAGTTCAAAATTTTTTCAGAAACAAACATCTTGTATTACATGTTGGTTTGTTTGTAGTTAAGCACAAAGCTACACAATGGGCTCTCTCTGTGCTCTGCCTACCAAGAGTATCAAAACCTGGTTTCCAGCATTATTAGTCTGCGGACATACTGCTGTGCTACTGGGGGCTTTGTATTACTTAACCGAAAGTAAATCCAAATATCTCATGCTAAAACCTACTTTTGAAGTTGTCAAAAGATCGAAAATAGCCTTCCTGCTCATATTTGCAGCAACAATTACATCGTCCTGTTTTCCACTATTTCCTGCAGCAACTGCTTTTGCTGTGGCTATAGTAACGGGTTTAGTCACACGAACAAGCTCTTCTGGAGTGGCTTTTTTAGTGGGAACATCAGACAAGTCAAAGGCCTAAAAATTAAAAGTTGATATTTGTTTTTGTATTTTTAATTTAAACCAGAGCATTTTCTCATGATTAAGAAACATAAGCTATGGTGTTCATAATATTTTAATTGTAATACACATGTAAAAAACTTGTAAGATACATTAAAGCTTTCAACTATATATATGAACATTTTAAACCAGTCTGTATGGAAACCACTCCTAAAACTACCTTTAGTTTTTACTAGCTCAGTTACTGTGTTTATAATAAACTAACATTTCACAAATTTAAGAATAAAAACATACAAAACAGAGTCAAATTTTAAACTCTTCGACCTAACTTTAATTTCATTATTCTATACAGTTAAATTAGCTATTTAAAGGCACAACCATAATCTGAATGACTAAATTACCAACTTAGGTAGATTTATCAACCATTTTGACTTAACCACTTCAATCTTACTGCTTGTACATTTAAATATATTTAGAAATGTGTTACTGAAAAATAAAATGTATAACAAATAACTAACAGAGAAAAAAAACCGATAATTTATTATGACTAAAATACAATATTTATACTTAATTAGAGAAATGTTAAAACAAAATAAACAATGCATGTCAAAAACTATGTCATAACAATCACCGCACACACATGATGATAAAATATTCATAAATGTTGTGGTTAGCAAGAATAATCTATAAAAGTGAACCATACTTAAAATTTTTATGAAGAAAGTTGAGAAAATGAAATTCTTGTTTTTTTTTTATATCTGTTAACTTTAACATGTCACTGCATACAGCCTTGCATTTCAGTACGAGACAAGAAAACTTTCTTGATGCATTACGAACACATAAGAAATCATTTTGCTTCATTTAATACTACAAATTCTACAATGTTACACACTCTAATTTCTTGGCCAATCACTTCAATGGTAGATTCCAGGGCTCTTGTTCCACGAGAATGCTCATCCTCCACAGATTTGACTGTTTTCAGTAACGAAGTTACATTTGTTACCATTACCTGTAAAAACATAGTTTACATTACGTTTTATCAAAGAAGAGCTCAGTGGAAGAATATGCATCTACATATTATTGATAGTAATTTGAATGCCTGTGAAGGAACATAAAACTGCAATTATAATTATTTTTTCTTTGTGATGTATAATAATACGTTTGTTTCGCATATTTTCACAAAAGCTTGCAACTACATGAAATAATTACTATATTCACCATCTTCTAGTAGAGTATAACAACTGTTAAATAATTCACTTCTTTAAAAAATTAATTTTTAGTAACAGTTTGGGAAGATGACCACTTTATGTCCTAATAAACAAAAGAAGACTAAGCTAAGAAGGCTTGTGAATTTAAACTTGATAGTTTTGTTGGTTTTTTAAAAGCATTTGCCTTGTAAGCAGAAACGGGAGTTTCAATCCCATTGCTCTTAGTTTTTGCTTCTTTAGAAATTGTAAACTGTCCAAAATTAACTAATTAATTCTGTCTTGGTCAAGTTCTTTAAATATCAAAATCATAACTTAATGAAATTCTATCCATGTAAAAGAACTACCTTCTGCAGAATTGAAATAAAAATGTGTAAACTAAAATAAACTTGATAACATTAAGTGCCTCTACCTTAGCTGATTCTTTCAAATTGGTCATGGCAGGATCATTTATACTTTTTCCCGATGCAGCCTTTGTAGCTTGGATAAGATCACCCAGAGCACTGGCAACATCTTTTACAGCATTAATAATCAGAACCTATAATGCAATGTGAACAAACATGTACAAATCCTTCTAACTTACATTAAAAACTAACATAAACACCCAAGGAAGATCTTAACATTTTCTACATATTCTTTGTCTTTTATTTTGCCAGATGGGAATATTAAACTTTTTTCAAGATCTGTTGAAGTTTCAGGAAGCTTTTTTGTTTGAAAAAAATCAAAGAGTAACAACCTTTTTCTGTTTTCATATAAATATAATTTTTGCTATTAACTGTTTTATGATTAATTTTACTTCAAACTATATCTCTCTCTTGAAAAAGTTTTGATAACAAATACAGACTAATCATTTACTTGAAAAAAAAATGTCTGAAATAAACGAAAAGCTTTTTTTTTCCTCGCAGTGATTACGATGACGAAAAAAGAGCATTAACACCTAAAGTTAGGAGTATTAATATTTTGTTAGACCTATTTTATGAATCATTACTGAAAAAAACCAAAATAACCCTATAAACTAAAGTTTCTTTGTCAAATAGAAAAGCCTGTAAGAATGGTTCCTAATTAAATATTAATACAAGCTAAAAATAAGGACTTAAGAATTTACTGTATATATTTGCTATAAACCAAGTATGAATAAATTTAGATCAATTTGTAATTAAAAATAATGTAACTGAATTTAAAATTACTGTATATTCACATCACAAACACACAGATGAATGAAACCATTTACCTGGATGGATCATAAAATGTACAACAATTTTTAATACATTAATTCAATTTTGTACAAAATGCATACTACAAAAAGATTTTCATGATACAGTTCCAAAAAACAACACATCTCACCTGAGCTTCAGGGTTATTTGATCCCAAAGATGCTGCTCCAAATTTTACAACTTCAGATAGCTGAACAATAGTTGTCACAGCATTCTGAGCAGCCACAGCTAACTGCTCCTGACTGGACGCAGCTCCAGCAACTAATGTTTTTGTATCTTCTACAAGTGCTTTTGCAGTTTTCAAGATATTCTCTCTAACAATTTTAAACATTATATCAACTATAAATAGACTTAATTGTTCTTATTTTAATCTATTCTATTGCCTGATCATGTCTGCATATAGAAAAATGAGGCATCGATCTCTACATAAAATAATGAAAAGCAGGTTAGACAATTAATATTGTTTCATTAAAAATAAAAGATAATGTTATGTTCTGTTGCTATAAAATGACAACTTCAACTTTGTTCCATTAGAAACAAATTACCTCCTACTACTGTGTTGATGACACAAGTACTTTAAAAAATACTTTTGGAAAAAGAAAGGCAAATAGACTAAAGAAATTTAATTTTTTAGCTTTAAAATGGTAGAGAAATGCATAACGTTTTTGTTTTACAAACTCATTCAAATTAAACAATAATTCAGTCATGATGCATGTCGTCATTCCTTTGCCAATCAAAAAATATGCTCCCTACTGAATAACTAGAGTGAGTTTATAGACTATGCATTAATCATGCATTTAAAAAATGTATATATATATATATTACTATTTAACAGAGATGAATTATACAGCCTAACATGTAACTGAAAGAAGTTACAGACACAATTCATACAATAATAGAATAATAAAGTATACTATATTGTTAATCACCTAAATATATATCATGCTATAAAAAAAAAGAAAGACATATTGCAAATGAAATTTACCTTAGAGATTTCAAAATAAAAAAATAGACTACCTACTTATAATATATATATTTTGTGATTTGGGTTACAAATTAAAATTCCAGTTCTTTTGTTAAAAAAGTCAATATTTTATTGTATACAAAGATATATTTTTCAGAATCAAATTGCTATGATCTTCCAACAATAATGTTAATATCAATAATCAATATTTTGCAATGTGCCTTATGCATTGTATGATGAGTAAATGGATTCCAACAGGTGAATTAGGCCAAACTCTGTTGGGCCGATATAGCCCTAAGGCCAAAGCTAGCTGCGATATGTGTGAGAACTTATTATATAATATAGATTTGTGAGATTTAAGGATGATAAAATAATACTTGATACTTTATGATGTTTCCAAAATAATAAACACATTATAGTCAAGATATACAGAAGATGCTTTGGTATCATCATCATGTCATATAAGCTTTAATTTAAGTCATTAGTGAACAATAAAAAAACAACTATTAATTAAAGTTATAAGGATTAACCTAATACCTGTGATCAGCAAAACTTTCATTTTCGTTTTCTGCACTTAAGGTTCCAGCAGTAGCAAACATGATAGTAGTATCAAGATCTCCAATTATTCCATTCACCGTGCTAGCAGCATTGATGCAAGCCTGAGTGCCTCGAGAACCAGCTTGGAGAGCTGCAAGCACAAAGGAGGCCTAGAAAAAAGTTAAACAGTGAGTGAAAATCGATTTCTTGAAAAGGAAGTGCTCTTAGATTTTTTATGAAACCTATTCCTTCTAGATTTAAATTACTAACGTCTTTGCTGCAATGATAATTTTGTGCTTAAAAAAACAAAGAAATCATAGAATGCATAGAGAAACTTTATGGATGATTTTAAAATAGAAAATGAAGTCACGTACTTACAAAAAATTGTTAAAATATACTACATTTTTCAAGGTATTTGTGGTACTGAAAAATTTAAATTACAAAATATCCATACAATATCAAATTAAGACCCCAATGAACATTATTTAACATTAAAAGCCTTAACTAACGACAAAACACTGTAAGAAACTGATTCAACTAATGGTAGTAATACAAGTATTAATATGTTAAATGTTACCTTTCTCTTCTTCTCTTATACTTAGCTCTTTGAATTTACAACAGTAAAAACTTTGCTGTACATAACTTCTTTGTGTATAAACTCACAACTTAATCAACTCACTTTTTCAGAGACATTTCTTGCATTTCCAACCACATCACGCTGACAGAAGATATCATTAGGATTACTTTGACAGGCACCTGCAGATTTGGTCAGATCTATGCATGCTGTTCCCAGGTCCTGCACAGCTGTTCTTATTCTACTAGCAACCTAAAAGATTAAAATTAAATTGATTTTTACTTCTTTAACCTGCAAAAACAGGAAGGAAATAGCTAAACTAAAACAAAAACACACTTAAAGAAACCAAAAGATAACTTTGCATGAAAAACAAAACATAAATGTATGTAGCATGATGTGGAGAAAAGGAGAGACCCTTATTTTCAATTCCCTTAATCTAAAATACGGACCTCATTTTTCAAGAACATCAAAAACCTATCTTATGCATTCAGAATTTGTTTAATATCAAAACATCTAAATCTGTTGCTACAGTACAAGATGTCTTTGAGAAAGTTGTTCCATGAAAGTTACAACTCTGCTAGACAAGCATGAAAGGAAAATATATCAAAAGAAAAATACAACTATTTGTAGATGTTCTTCAACATCATATGGTTAACAGAATCCAAAGATAATAGAAAATTTAAACCAGCAGTATACAAGTAATGTGAAGTATCCTGCTCTCCTTCTATATTTTATTTCTTGATGGTTTAATCTTTTAATGTTATTGGTTGATTTTCTTGTCTTTCACATCGATGCTTATCACTATTTACCTGTTCTAAGTTTACATTTTATACTTGTATTTCATTTTGTGAATTTGATGATGCTGAAGTATTATCAGCAAAACTTGGATTTCTTATGTGTATTTTCATTTATTCCTGTTTAACAATTTCAGAAATAAAAATATCTTAATTTAGCATTGGGAAACAGCTCAAGGAACTGATAGCTTTTGACTTATTGAAAAAATAAGTATGTGTGCTAAAATGTGATACAACCATACACATTTAACTTGTTGGATTATAATCATTTACAAAGGACTGAGTACATTACAATGATTTTGGAGCCTCACATTCTATGTCACAACATCCAACCATGCTCTATCTGATGACTGCATCTTGCCAATAGCCCTGCAGAATTGTTTCCATAGCAAATTGCTCTTTCATAAGGCTTTCATGTCCAAAGCACACCACTCCTACTAATTAGCTTTCCATAATACAATCAGTATACAAGAATGATAATTTTCCAGTACCCTATTTCGACACTCCAATCACATAGAAATCCATAAGTGCTATGTCTAGTGACTTCACCAGTTTGTCTTCATACTGAATAGTATAAATGCTCATTTCACTCTCCAGCTGCTTAAAGTATATGATGGCTAAATCTGAGTTATGACTTGAACTCTAATCTGGTGAACCAATACCATACTGACTTCATTTACAGATGGAGATTCTTCTTGATTATGTTGCATACAGTTGCCAGGGAAATGTCTGTTGCTTTTGCCACTGACCATTGTGTTTGTGGATTCTCACTTATTAAAAGATGCTAAACTTTACTTACCACAGCTGGGGTACGACTTGTTGCAGGTCTCTTTCAGGATAGTCCTAGTGCCCAAGCTGATCTACATTCTTTTGTTTCTCAATGCCATTAAGAGTAATGGATATCCCTATCTTAGGAATTCTAACTCCTTGATGTGAACATATCTTTATGATATGAGTGCATAAATATTTTATGCTGGAAATGCAATTAACCCTATAGTTATGGATCCCCTTTCTGTGCATGTCACAAAGTTTTACTGAGTTACATTCAATGTATGACAATGAAATTAGCATTACAATGTACATTATAATTTAATGTTTAAATTCCTTTATTTCAAAATAAACTTTAAAAAAACCCTTAATCTTTGGTTTTGTTTTCCCATGACACACAAGTCTTAACTTTTGTTCTGTGTAACTTAAGTAATTCTTCTTATACACTAGATGTTATGTCTACTCAGAAACTAAGGTGATTGCATGTTCTGAGAAAGGAAAAATAAGTCCCTTAGGAACTCTTGACAGAAGCCACACCCACTTTCTACACATAGTCATGCAATTTCATACTCAACTCTACTTATTTGTGTACATGTTTATAACCAAAAGAAAGAGCACATTATAAACTACAATCTTCTAATGGTTATTTTCAAATTGAGATGCAGAATTTCTTACAAAGTATGTCAAACCATTCTAAGCATCGTTGTTGCTTTCATTCTTGCTAGCACTTGGCATTGTTAGTCACCTAGAAATATGTTAGTTAGATAGACAGTTAAATTGTAATTAGGTTTTAGTTTTATATTTTAGTTAATTGTGTGTTATGCTTTAAAATGCATATTAAAAAGGTTTAATACTTTTTATAAATATAACCCAAACTTTGTCTCAGTTCATGAGGCTTAGTGTAGTATGCGAGAGCAAAAACATCCTGCCAAAAGTTAAAGTATCTCTCCCAATTATACATTAATATTGCTCGAGAATGTCTGTTGACTTATGTCATGATAAATAATAATGGTAAAGGAAAGAAAAGAAAAGGAAAATAAAATATTAAAAATAAACTATGCTGAAAATGTAGACTTGCAGTTAAGAATGTAACAAAATGAAGATCTTCTAAGATTATTCGACGAAAAAGATTAAAGGGTATGTACATTTTTTTCTATATCTCAATTTTAAACATTTAATTACACTATGCATTGACGATAATACTAAAAATATTTAAAGTCTGAGTGCAAATAACTACAACACAAAAATAAATCTTTAGTTAAAATACTTAATTAGAATAATCTCGTTCCTTGTGTACAAAATACTTGTAATCTTACCAATTGTTGTGAAAATACGTTAAGAAAAGTCAGAGTTATCGTAAGTATTGTTAAACTGTGTATCATTCTTCATACAAAAGCAGTGCCAAATGGGCACATCCTGCAACCACAGGGTAATTTTTTGGTGACATCACACAATTCATGAAATGCCAAACAATATATAAATGTAATTCTGTTCCATTCAATTCCACCTGGAATATTGGCTGATTTGCATATTTAAAATCATTTTAACATAATACATTTAATCCAGTACATGATTATCATTTCACAGTCATTTCTGTCATCTGAATAAATCGTGAGACTAGTTTTTTTGCAGCAGTTTTGAATTAAATATTTTAAACATACACCAAGCACATGCAAAGTATCTAATTTTTGCACACTGTTACTCCTACTCACGTAATAATGAAAAAGCAGCAGGTTATAGTATAATGTACTTTCTTTCAGGAATTTGTATGCCTTTAATTAATGGGTATACTGACATAAATTTGTACACTATATTTTTCACGTCTGTACACAAAATTGTCTACAAGTGTGAAATTACTTTTTCACACTTTTAGTTGGCATTATAGAAGTTACAAAGTGAGTTTTTTAAACTTTGAAAAGAAAAAATCCAAGATAACTTAAAGGCTTGTATAATGTGTTCATTCAACAACAGTGTAGCAGTAAATATTACCACAGATTTAATTTTATTGTAGTAATAATAAAGTTATAAGAATATCCTTCATGTTGTATTAATAGAAGTACAGGATTTCACCCCTCACACACACAGTTTGTATTAGATTGTCAAGAAATTAATGTCACATTTTGGAACACTTTCATTAACCACCCTCCAAAAAACATACATCATGTATAATAGTTAAATGAACCCCCTACACGTCACATTAGTGTGGCCTATATAATGTGTAAAGTTTAGTATACTCTAATCCCTTATAGTGATGACACACGACGAGACACACATTCGGCATGTAATGCTGTTTGAATACAAGAAGGGAAACAATGCATCTCTAGCCACAAAGAATATCAACGAAGTTTATGGAAATGTTTTGAACGTTCGTAAGTGTCAATGATGGTTCAGAAAATTTCATTCAGGTGACTTTAGCCTTAAAAACTATGACGGTAGGGGCTGACTTGTTGGAACTGATATTGATGCTCTGAAGATGCTTGTTGAGTCTAACCCAAGGCAATACATTTGTGAAATGGCCCTGAAATTGCATGTCTCTCATGAAACAATACACAAACATCTAAGGAATATGTGAAAACTCCTTAAAGGAGGTGTTTGGGTGCCTCAAGAACTCTCCGATGATCATCGTTTCCAACATGTGAACGTTGCTTCGTCTCTTCTGGCACATAATGCACGTAAACCATTTTTGGACAGAATCTTCACTGTGATGAAAAATGCATTCTCTATGCGATTATTAAATGTAAAAAGCAATGGCTCAATCCTAGACAAAAACCACTTCCGACCCGAAAACCTGGACTCCATCCACAGAAAGTGATGCTTTGCATTTGGTGGGACATCAAATGAGTAATTCATTTCAAACTTCTAAATCCACAGTGAACTGTCAATGCAGAGATCTATAGTCAGCAACTGGAACATTTAAATCAAGCCCTTCATCAGAAACATCCTTCACTCGTCGATCGGAAAGGTGTTTTTCTTCTCCACGACAATGCATGTCTACATGTGGCACGTTTGATGCAACACAAGATTATGGGGTTGGGAAGTTCCCCCCACCCACCATATTCTCCAGATATGGCACGTTCAGATTATCATCTTTTTCGTTGGCTGCAACACCATCTTAATGGGAAAACGTATGTAAATAAAGAAGGTGTAAAGAGAACATCAACATGTTTTTTGCCTCAAAGCCAAGTGATTTCTATAATCAGGGCATTAACAACCTGATTGTATAATGGAAAAGCATCATCGATAAGAATGGAGACTATGTCATTTAATAAATGTTTTGTTTGATATACAAGTTGTTTGGATTTTTCATCTAAAAAAAGCGACATTAATTTCTTGACGACCTAATAACTATACTCAGTGTAGAAATCTAGGATTAAGCAATTTTGTTGTTGTTGTTGAGTTCACCTAATTTTGATGTATTGTGACATAAAGAAAATTAATTAAAAATTACACTGCACTAATTTTATCCAGTTGTTGTCAACCACCACTATGGTACTAGGTGAAAGGCCTTGTTGGCACTGGATATAAGTGTAGTGGAATTATTATTATACACTCTTCTTTATTTTCACTCAGAAGTTCTTATCATAAATTACACAAAAAATGTTACAATTAAACAACAAGTGCATCTGAAAGGCTGATCCTTTGAATGCTTTACAATGTCTTTAAACAAAATGCAGGGGAAAAACTGTACTTCTATACATAAATTATGATTTCTTGAAAGACTTTTATGTCTAACAAAGTAATGAAAAATAGCTCTTTGTTCAGTTCTCAAGCGTAACAGTTATAAGTATTAAAGTATGTTACTTAAAATGATACAGAATTACTTGGACACTCAGTTATGTATAGAAAAGTTGTGGATCCATAGATTAAATTCCATAACACACACACACACACACACACACAACAAAAAAAGGTCAAATAAAATACATACACACACACACACACAAACAAAAAAAAAGGTACAAATAAAATACATACACACACACACACATGATTTTTTTTGTTCTAAACTGGAAACAGACAGCTTCCTAAAACTGCTCCTTCAGTTTTTTGGACTTTCTTCAAATTTCCAATACAATTCAGCATTGCATCCCTGATGTTTGAAACATGCATCACAAGGTTTTATCAAAGATATTAATAATTAGCTTTAATTCCAACATAACATTTTATAAATATAACCATGTTTTATTAAAGTCATAATAATGCTATAATACTGGTTTAAACTTTTTTAATCAATTAGACAAGTAGGAAATTCACTTTTTTTTCACATCATCCACTGCAATTATTATAAATAGCTTCCTTGATTAAAGTTAAACTTTTTTTTCCCCCGATTATCATTTTAAAAAGCTATATTTATCCATCAACTAATAATAATCCAACCTTACCTCTGAATTTGAGGTGGCACTAACAGCTCCCCTGGACTCATTGGCAACAATAGCATACTGGTGTGATAAGTTTGCTGCCAGCGGGCCCAGATGATTAACATTGGTTGTTGATTTAGCAACCTACATTGTAAATGACATTTTACACCTCACAATGTGCTTTGATTTTTTTCACTTTTACAAATACAAAACTATTAATGGTTGGAGACGGCTTGAATGGGTAATGAAGAAAAACTTTAATATAAGTTTAACATAACAGCAAATGTACAACATTGCGACAAGGTTTTGTCATCATCAGGTACCAACCATTATTAGTCTCAAAGTGGGTTCCTCGTCATCAAATTTAAATACAAAACTATATTTTCACTTTGTGTTTTAGAAAAACAAATACGAGAAGCAATAAGAGAAACACTCTGTAGGTAACACAGCTTTCACTGAACTTAAATTTAATTAAATTACTTCATTGTAGAAAGTATGACCAATAAATAAAAGTTGCTAAAATACTTAATCTCAAATATGCAAACTTGGATTTGTATTAGAAACAAAAAAAATCAAGTCATTTTAACAACTAACATTAGAAAAGTCCAAACATACAGAAGACATTTTATATTTAGTAACAACTTTAGTTAATCACCAGATGACTAGAATATTTTGAAATCCATCTTTATAAGAAACAATTTCTACTTTCACAACTTTATTTTCTGTTGTAAAAAATTTTATATCCTCCTCCCACCAAATTTGTTTGATAACTACTTCTCATGTTTGTTTACATGTTGCAGAACGTAATATTTCCTTATTTATTCTTGCTAACAACTTTTTTTTCAAACAAATGTCCAATTTCTGTTTTAATTCAAGAACAGAATCTTATAATTTCATTAGGGCTGGAACCCACCCTTGTCATGATTATACGTAATACAATAATTTTTCTCTTCTATTGAACAAGCCCCCTAGTGGCACAGCAGTATGTCTGCAGACTTACAACACTAGAAACCGGGTTTCAATACTTGTGGTGGGCAGAGCACAGATAGTCCATTTTGTAGCTTTGTGCCTAATTACAAAAAAACTACCAAACAATTTTTATGAATTTACTGTATTACACTGTTTGTTTGTTGTTAAGCACAAAACTACACAATGAGCCATTTGTACTGTCTGCCATGGATATCGAAATCTGGTTTTTAGCATTATAAGCCTTCAGACTTACTACTGAGCCACTAGAAGGCCATATTAAATTGAGTGTACATCTTAAAACTTAATACCAATATTATCTAAATATATTTTTAGGACACATTATAACTGTTTTTTATTAAGATTGACATAACAAGAAAGCCACTTGATGTTCCTACCGTAACATTACCAAGAATATTTTACTCAACTTACCTGAACAGAGTAAAAGATTTTCTGTACCTTAATTTTTATTTCCTAACAAAGCTTTCCAGCTTTCATCAGATAAAAAAAAATTCCATACTAAATCAAAGTAATGTGTCTTCAGTATGTTTTGTTGATGTAAAAATTTATTGTACATTATTTGCCCTCCTCAATATATGTGAACAAGAACATAAAACTCAAGTACACTACATACTGGACAATACACAAACTAAATTACCATAAATAATTGTTGTATCTTTTATTGAAGTTAATCTTATTTTATCATATATTCTTTAATGGAAGTTGCTTTAAATTTCATTATAAAGTACTTAAATTTGTTTTTTCCTTAGTTCTCCATCTACACCTTATTTTAAAATACAATTTATTTCTGTATATCTATCTCACTTTTAGACAAAACATGCATGTAATGTGACACCACGTTTCAAGAACACCACTTGCACCTTAAACTACTTCTTACTGTTGAAAATTCTTACCATATCTTGAGCAATTCTAGCTATTTCTTTAGATGCATTCACCATTTTAGTTTGGTAGTCAGCAAATGAGTCACTTTCACTGAGTCTAACATGTTCATCAACCTGAATAATCAATGATATCAATTGTTATGTATTAAGACAAATTTTAGACTTCTAAAATTTCCAAATCAAAGGGCATTCACAAAAAAAGTATCTTTTTAATAAACTTATTTTATTTTCAGCTTTATTCTCCATAACCTACAACAAAAGCATCTTAAGCTGAAAATATTTTCAACAAATTTTTCCAATAACACCATTACTCTAGCTGTTATTATAACCTACTAATACACAGGGCAGTCTTACAATATACAGAAAAAAAAGTTCTAAACTGTTTTATAGTTAATAACTATGATGCCTACTTACAAAACGTCGTGCTTTTACATTCCACAAATAAAGGCTGTGTGTTAAACGAAAAAGAAAAAAGCTATCCTTTCAGGCATGAACACACATTTTTAAATAACCACTCTATTAGAACCTTATCCACTGTGAAATTTAACCTTCACATGGATAATAAGTTCTCTCATTCTCTTTTCTTTTGATGATGTTTCAGTCTCTATGCTGCAGCCTTCTTTGGGACCATAGAAGATTCCTAAGATACCCAAAATACTACCTAGCCTACACATAAGCAAACCCTTTTAATACTTGGTAACTTATATTATTAATAATGAATACTTAAGAGTCCATACTAAAACTACACATAAGGTAGGAGCACTTAAGAACTTCTACAAAAGCAGGACTAAAACAATTCATAAAAAAAAAGTATCTTAAATATATATCACCAATATCAAATAATGGTATAAAAATTTATGTTCAAATTCCCTTTTGCTGCTTTACTTGAGATGATTGACAATTTAATAAAAGCTTCAGAAACAGTGGTTGGACTACTAAGATTCTAGATTCTTATACCGTAATTTACATAAATAACATACAATTAATATTTCTAACAACTTCCTACTCATCTTCTAAATGTGCACCTCCATCAAACTTCACAGTAAAAATCAACATTGTTAAGAGAGAGTACGTCCGATACTTTATTTAATAATGATCCTTTCAGAATTTCAATAAAAATAAACGATGTTACAATGACATTTGAATAGTATATTTAAATTATCAAATATTCTACACCTGCTTGCATATACAGAAGTTCTTTTTTTATGATCAAAGAGGCAAGGGAAGAAAATCTACCTTAGCAACTGACTTATTGAGAGATTCAACTAATCCAGTCACTATTCCAGCTTCAGTAGCTGCAGCCTCTAATGTGTGCAAGAGATCATGTAGAGCATCTTGCATAGCATCAGCAGAGTCTTCAATTTCTGTGTGACCATGTGTAGCCTGTAGAAACAAATAAAACAGGTTATAACAGATAAGAATTGTTTGAGTCTTCAATTTCTGTGTGACCATGTGTAGCCTATAGAAACAAATAAAACAGGTTATAACAGATAAGAATTGTTTGAGTCTTCAATTTCTGTGTGACCATGTGTAGCCTATATAAACAAATAAAACAGGTTATTACAGATAAGAATTGTTTTCTCACATTTTGCAATTTCTCTAATAATATTTCACTGTTTTTTTTGTTTGTTTAAAAGTTGCAAATAGCTTGCACAACTTCATTATTTTTCCACCTTTTTTTTGTACTCTCAAGTGAGGATTGTTAAATGTTATTATATAGACTACAAATTACAAAAAAACTTTGCTTGACCTTTGGATTCCCTCCACACTCTTTGGCTGCATACACAAGCTGTAAGGCACATTCAGAAACTGTTTTTGTTTGGTCAAGTAGTGCCATCTGTTGTTTGGAATTCAAAGTATGAGATGCACTACCAACAGCACTTTGAACAAGTGGGCTGAAATAATTCACCATTTGTGAAACCTGAAACGAAAATTACACTTATATCAACTAAAAATATACATTTAAGTAAACAAATGATTAAAAAAGATCTAATAAATTTACCAAGAAAGTTTTAAAAATAACTAAAACACCACTAAAAAGTCTATTTATTTTTATTATTATATATCTAAGGTAAACGATGTAAACATATTTTTTCCTACTTGCACTATATGGTTATGATTTTACAAATATGTCAAACATTAGAAAAATTTATGAAAAAATAATACAAAAAAAAAAAACAAGACTCTACTTATAAAAATTACATTCAAAAATATTTTTGAATGCCAAATAAATGGTCACTTTATTCAATTCGCAATCTTTATGGAAAAATAATTAAAGGTTACAATCTTTACTTATTATATCTACATTACTATCTATAACTAAATTATAATTCTTGTAGAAAATATAGATAAACACAGAAAAAAATATGCATTTAATAAGTAGCATGATGGGAAAGAAACCAGAGAATAGTGTGTTAAATGTTGATTAATTTTTGTTTATATTACCAATATACAATCAGCATTTGAACACAACTTACAGCATGACCAATTTTCTCAGCTTCCCCTTTAGATGAAGTTCGAACACTGTCTATCCTGTCCATAATTTCAGTTGCACTGTTTTCCATTTGTTCTTGGAAACCCTTTGATTGGAAAAGATAATTATGAATTACATTCACTGAACCTCCACATCTATCAAATACGTGATGCTCTTATATGTGTGCTTGCGTGTGCACAATATTGGGGTATTCATCTCTTTTCTAGCTTAATCACTATTTTAGTAAGTATGTTATTAGTTCTTTTTAATCGTGTACTTTTATAACAAGAAATTTCACCATTAAAAAAACAAACAAAATGGATTAATAATTCTCAGTCTTGACAAGGACAGAAAAAACACTAAAAATTAACTTAACAGCTAATCCTCTAACCAAATCAATTCAACAATTATTTAAAAAATCCAATAACAGAAGAATGCTCAGAACAGACCTATTGACATTTAAGCATCATACAAATACGAAAAGTACTGCAACTTAAGTGTTTTAGTCAACAAAGGTGTGGCGGAAAGAAAAAAGGTTTGTTTAAATCTTGTTCTCTAAATTAATCTATCAATTACATTGTTTAAAATAGCTAGAAATCTAAAAACATTATAAAGTTACCTGTATTTTAAAAGCTCTTAGAAACTTTTTGAAAGTTTCCAAATTAATCCTATATGTACTTTATGGAAATTAATAAAATTATCTGCAAACCTGAGAAATACAAAAAGTTTCCAAAATTATGTACTCAACTTCCAAAGTTTCAGTCAAGTATTAACAAATGTTTACAAGCTTACCAAAATGTAATAAATATTAGGCTTACGTTACTCCAAGATGACAAGTTAGTAAACAATTTGGCTATACAATAAGTAATTTCAAAAAATAAAGAAAATAAAACATTAAGAGCTCCTCAATTTTGTGTTTTATGCTTTGAGCTATTAAACATCTCACTTAAAGTATAAAATTAAACATCTGAGCTTTACTTAATTACTCATACGTAATAATTCTTTAATTCATAAAAATATTCTATTTCAAATGCTCCTTATTTCTTGAAACTCACCTTCAGGGTATTGTCCTGACGAGGTGAGAGATTCTGACTCATGATATCCAGTGCTGCTTGATCCAATGTTTTGATACAAATACTTAACTTTTTAATAGCTTCTTCACATTCATTTTGACCTGGGGCTTTATCCCTGGAATTAAAAATGAACAAATATTTTGACTTACAACAATAAAATCTTACTTAATACAAAGATACAAATGCAGAAACCATGTTAATTTGTCCACAAACATTTGTTTCTCTTTCTCACTGATGGGCTTCCAGCAAGGTTTCAGAGCAGATTCTTGACTTCTTTCACACAATAGAAGTAAACAACAGAGAAAATCAACTGACACTTTAAAGTAACAAAATGAATATTTGAAGCTAAACTGGAAAAACCAAAACATGCATTTGAATGCTATGCATCTCCTAAATGCCAATGAAAATGTTTATTTGCTTGTTTTGAATTTCGTGCAAAGCTACACGAGGGCTATCTGCGCTAGCCGTCCCTAATTTAGCAGTGTAAGACTAGAGGGAAGGCAGCT